AAGAACAGAAAAGAAAGCAATAGTTTAATTAAGAAAATAAAAACATCTAGTTTATCTCTTACAACGAATAAAACTTACAATACCATGTTTGTTTTAACCAAACATCAAGATAAACTTGAAGCAAAATTTATTCCATGAATTAATCCTTGCCTTCCCGTCTGAAAATAAGATGGAATGAGTTGGCTGCCAATCTACGTACATTTCTCTAAAATTTTACTAATAACCAAAACAAACATAGTAATTAAACCAATGTAATACAAGGGGTAACAACCATCCTATCAACCTGTAAAAAGTGGGGAAATTGAAATTAAGAAGGGTGGAAAGCGACTTTGTATGATATTTTGGTACTATGATAAGAGTAGTCCCCATTCTATTCTATTTAGAGCAAATTGTGATGACCCACCACGTTATCATGTCACATAGACACTATTTGGCATATATTAGTTCCATGTGGAAGCTTACATATAGGAGGAAGGCTAGCATTTGTGAGAAGAAGTATGAGCATTTTCTTTGGTAGACCCTAGATCCCTATGAATTTGCTAGAAAAATCCTTGTAATCTTCTAGGCTTGTAGAGAATTCTAGAGAAAGCCCTTATCTTATAATATTAAGGACTTGTGTAACAATTAATATTTACCCACTAGCCCCTACGAGACTAGTATATAAATGGGGCCATTTATTTGTTACTAGTAAATTTATCCGCGCTTCGCGCGGTTACGAAAATATAAAATATAAAAAAAATTAGGTACTATCTTTCATTTTAGAAAATCCATCTTTAGTACTTTTGATTAGGCAAATCTAATACGGTAACATCATCTAAATGTAAATAAAACAAATCATCCATCTTACCATTTAAATGGCTTGAACTCCTCAAAGTTAAAGTTTTGTATATATACAAAAATTTGTTGAACTCTATCCATTAAGACAAAGGCACTTTGTTTATATTTTAAAGTTCCTTTATTACCTAGTTATAGCCATAGAAAATTCTTTATATATATATATATATATATATATATAAAAAATCATCTGCTATTCAAAATTTAATGGCTCGACTAATCCAGATTAGTGCCATGTTAGGCGTGTTACAGGGGAAGTGCTCCTTGCTAGAGAATTTATTGTATGTTTAAGACCATAAATTTTATTTTATTTTTTCTTATACTCTGCACCTTAAAATATGTATCGTTATGTATTAATGTCAAGGAGAACATTGTTTTGAGAAATTTTACAAACTTACAAAGGGTAGGAGAATAAAAAATATGATTTGTCTTATTACGATAAAAACTGAAAGGAAATAAAAAACAAACAAAAAAAATTCTTAAAACTAAAATGGAAAATGCTCCAACCGGCCTGATTATTTCATGTTTAAACTTCATCACCTTAGTTGGCTATTATTCAATTTCAATCTTCCCAAATGCTGCCTCCGCTGGAGTACCGCATAAAGTTGTGCCGCTTGTTTCGCTTCAGCTGAACAACCATCAATTCTCACTTACTAAAACCTGTCAGCCATAGAAAATACAAGGCTATATAACAAAAAGATACTTGATGGATGCATGTTCAATTTGCATAAAGGGTACAAAGCTGCATGTTGTTTTGATATCCTATATGTAAAAAATCATATGAAATACATATTTCTAGAGCTCCCGTTTACCTACTCTACAAAACGTTTTGATGATAAAGAAAGTAACAAAATCTACATTGATGGCATAACCATCAAAGTTCATAGGAAAATTAAGAATGTTTGGGCCAAAGCAAAATTCTAAGGTATTTATAGGTAGCTTCACCAGTACCCATCAACCCCTGATTTGTCCAAGAGTTTATAGTAACTGAAAGCTCATAATCGATTCATTATAACGTAACGGAAAACTCACACCTCATTGCTTTATTATGATATATTAAATGATATTGAAGAATAAGGCTTATCTAATTCACATAAATAGAATGATGGATATTGAATTCGATTAAATTATGGGGAAGTGAATAGTGACATAGAGACTTTGGACTTTTTAAAGTAAAATAAATGAAAAAATACGAGAAAATGGCAAAAAAGGAGAAAAAAGATAAATAGTAATCATGGCCAAAGAGAGGTGACAAGTCACCTAGGCTATTCCCTCTTTTATATTATATTAAGATTCACCAAACAAACAATTCAAGTTCTCTCTAATACAAAGCTTCCTTTAACAATTCTCTTGTGTTCTTTCTACTATTCCCTTAACGATCTTGAGTGTAGTAAGGCGGACTTGGCATAGCAAGAATGAGAGCAAGTTGTGCAAGATCGTGAGTGAGTTATCTGTCACGCCCCGAACCTGGGCCTGGACGTAACACGGCACTCAGTGCCTGACTACATGTGACCGAGCGAACCAACCGGCTAGCTGAATCAACATGTGATATCATAACATACTAAATGCGGAAGATAAACTAACACATGCTGGTATACTGAAAGTCTGAATGACAAACATCAAAGTGTGGAAACACTAATACAAGTCTGAAACAAAGCTGTAGCCAATATTGCATAACATGAAAAGTTGTGACTCTGTCTAGCTGTTACTCTAGTCTATGAAGCCTCTAATGAAGTACTGAAAACACTGACTGCCTGTAAATACTGAAAGACTGTAAAGTAATGATAATGCCCCGAAAGAACTAGGGATCACCAAACAGCTGGTACGAGAATCCTAGCGCTCTGAATCATCAACCTGTAAATCATTACCTGCATTGTGAGATGCAGGCCCCCGGCAAAAGGGACGTCAGTACATTTGAATTGTACTGGTATGTAAAGCAACTGAAAGAAAGAATTATAAATACTGAAACTGGAACTAAGCTGATAACTGATATGATAACTATTGAAACTGAAACTGAAGTGAGAACTGCTAACTGAACTGATAACTGAAAAGATAACTGATAGCTGATAACTGAACTAATAACTGAAAAGATAACTGATAACTGAACTAATAACTGAAAAGATAACTGATAACTGAACTAATAACTGAAAAGATAACCGAACTGAATAAAGGAAGTAAGGATATGAATACTCCCTCTTCTGAATGGTGAACAACCTGTTTATCTGAATATTAAACTGCGGCCTCAGGCCCAATATATATATGTGCACAACTGCGGCCTCGGGCCCAAGTATACGCATACACAACTGCGACCTCAGGTCCAAAATGCATAAAGCATAAACTGCGACCTCAGGCCCAAAGATGCATAAAGCATAAACTGTGGCCTCAGGCCCAAAGATGCATAAAGCATAAACTGCGGCCTCAGGCCCAAAGATGCATAAAGCATAAACTGCAGCCCCAGGACCAAAGACAGGTGTTCAACATTCAGGAACTGAGAATCATACTGAAATACATGATGCTGAAATACTGAATCATACTGAGTTACATGATACTTGAATGCTGAACCACACTGAGTTACATAATACCGAATAGGACTAGACTGAGACATATATTCTTGAATTGATTATGAACACTGAAACTTTAACTGTTTATGACATGCTGAGTAAGCTATACTGAGACTCAGGGACATCAAACCCAAGTCTATATTGAATACGAACTGAGCTCACAACGTTCAGAATGAAAGTCATGAACGAGTTATGAAGCTAGAGAATAGAAGTTCTACAACTATTCAAGGAATTAGGCTTAACTATATTTCTGAGGCAATTGGTAACGTCGTAAAAGAAACGTAGTGTAGGGAAAATTATTAAAATTCCCAAACATAGAGAGTTAGCCTCACATACCTTAACTTCCTGCTCTTGAGCGTAATACAACATTCGCCAACCCTTTCAACTTTAATCTATATCAATACAAGTCAATGGGATTCTATATTAGCAATAATACTCATATTTTAGTCACTTAAGCATTTTCTCAAACACTTGGTGACATAAAGCTTCATAGTCCTTATTAATGGTGTCTCTACACCCAATAACCCATTCTCTTATTCCTAGATAAATTCTAAAGTCTCAAATGGTTATAATCAACATTATTCTTTATCACTCATAAAGTAAACAACACCCTTAACCAATAATCAACAATCAACACCTCAAACCTATAATCGTTCATGCTTTTTTATCAAACTCATCAACTCATATCTCATGAACTAGGGTTTAAAATCATTAAACCAATCCTAGAATCAATTAGAGGGTAAAGACATTACCTTTTTGAAGTTCAAACCCTTTGAATTCGAGTTCTAGGCTTCCGTCTCTCAATAATGATATTCCAATCGAATATCTAATGATATGGAGGGTTTACCCATGTTAATAAGATGTTGGAAAAATATAATTAACTTAGAATTACCATTAGAACTTACCTTGGGTGGTGGAAGGACCCTTAAGGAGTTAGGTTTTTGAGAGTTCTCCTTTCTAGAGCAAGTTTTTGTGTTTTGGGGCTGTGGAGGACGAAATATAGCTTTAAAACGACCCCCCACGAGCGCGCCCGCACACCTGGAGACCTGCCCGCGCTACTGACCGCGCTAAACGGCAGTAGCACTGCCTCAAAATTAGCGCGGTCGCGCTATGGGCGCGCTACCGGGCGCGTATATCGCATACTTTTATGTAAAACGCGCATAACGTTTTGCACAGATATCCGTTCGCGCTCCATAATATATCGTTGGAAAGATATTTCAATGGCCTACAACTTTCATGCTTTGAGTTTTCCCAAATTCCTTACACATTTTCACTAAAATCTGCTGGAAGGCAGACCTTCTGCAAACTTAGTTGATTTTGTCAAATCTTATGCACCTCACTTTCCATCTTGATTTTGAAACAACTATTTTACCCATAATCATCCCGATGGGACTTCACATGTTCAAAATATACCCTTACCACTCATTTAACTCATTCATACCTAATCCGAATTTATGGGGTGTTACATTGTCAAGTGCCACAGGTGTACTTAGTTAATGACTAAGGACATGACAAAATGGAGTAGTATTATTTTGTGACGAAATAAAGAAAAAAGATGTACACATACAACTTGAGAAGAGGAAGCTATTTCTAGCTTCGACCAAGTTAACCAGAAAGTTCGAAAAAAGATTTTAAGCTATGAGGTCCAGTGACATCAGGATCTCCATGCCATAATAGTTCAGCAGACTGTTTATAGGGTGATTCTGAAGGATGACTGGAATCAAAAAATACATAATCCTTGGGATTTTGGCAGAGTTGGTAGTCTTTCACTTCCCTTCTACCTCCACAACTATTTATTCCTCGAAAAGGTCCTGTACCACAACATGCCATCTTTGATACTTCAAAACCTACAAATATATGAAAGGAAGAATTAATCTGAATAGCCGTCAACCCAACCGTTTAAAAAAAAATGGTCGATGGATGTATAATATATGTATAATTTTTGTATAAAATATGTATATCTTATGTATACCAGCTAGAAAAAATAAACAGTGAATCCGGCTGGCTATTTGTGTAAAGATCCTAATTTAAATAGTTCATATCGAATAATGATAATTGTATCCATGTGACCAGGAGGTCATAGATTCGAGCCGTGGAAATATCATATTGCAGAAATGCAGGGTAAGGATGCGTCCTGCATACAATAGACCTTTGTGGTCCGGCCCTTTTTCGGACCCCGCGCATAGCGGGAGCTTAGTGCACCAGACTGTCCACATATTGAATAATGATAATTATGTAAATTAGTTCGATAAGTAAAAAGAGAACTTACCATATTTTGAAGGGTTGTTAACCCTTTGATCAACTACTTTATAGAGATCAAATAATGTATACATAAATCCTTTTAGTTCCTTTTGTAATTGCTTCAGCATTTTCGGAAGAATCAAATTGTGCAATTTCAGCAGCTCATTCAGTTCTTCAAAGCAGTCATCTGTCTTATTTTGCTGAAGGACAAAAGCCCTAGCACTTGGAAAACAGCCTAAGGGAACCAACGTAAATATGGCAAATTTTCTCCCTCCTCTCCTGTAAACTTCCTGTTGCAGTTATTTTAAAAAGATAAAATAAGATATTAGTGTAAATGATTCTTGGGAGTAAAATGGATACTATTCTAAGTAAAGTGGATTATATTATATAAATTATCCAAAAAATTTGTTCCACACCACTCCAAGTAAAATGGATGAAATTATGTAAATGATAAAATGACCTTCTATAGCCCCTCAAAATTTTATTAGTCTATTTTTTTCCTCATGGAGTGGAATTAGCCTTTAGACCCAATTTATTGACAAGTTATAGCCACTATAACCAATGCACTTCTACCCTCTTTCAACCGTCTCTCTCTCATCTTCTCCAATCTTCAATCTATCAGTTTCTTACTTCTTTCCCTCTCTTTTTATCTTTTCCCTTCTTCACTCCCTCCTTTTTTCTTTTTTCTTTTCTTCTCCTATAGCGACACCAACACACATCTTTTTTTATTTTTTCCTTTTTTCTTTGCGATCTCCTCCTCTTTTACTTAGATGCAAAAATATTTGTCTTTTTTGAGAAACTTTTGGCAAAAGTCTGGCAATGGTTGCCGCTTTCTTCGCTTTCTATCGACTTTCACATATAGTATTGCATGATATTTTTCGGATGAATTGTGCAAGAAGATGAGAAATGGAAAAAATAAAATAGCCGCAGCCGGAGAAAAGCTTTTTCCGGCCAGGTTCGTTGTCCTCCATTATCGTAAGTGCTCCTTTATTTATACACTGGATAAACACTATATAATAATTGTATACTACGGTCTACAATCAGTGTGTATACATTATACACAAATGATACATTTATTATACACGCATTATACAAAACTAGACGTGAAAGATTACGCTGGCTATGGTAATCCTGAAAATGTTGTATATAATGTTTATATATTATGCATGCACATTTATATGAAAGGTGTATCTATACTGATATAACACATATACACTTTTTATACACATTCAATGTTCATATAATTTTGTACTCCCTCCGTTCCAATTTATGTGAACATGTTTGACTAGGCACGAAGTTTAAGAAAAAAAATGAAGACTTTTGGAATTTGTGGTCCTAAACAAGTCAAAAAGACTTATGGCTACCAGTTGTCATTAGTTTTCACCGGGTGGCTACAAATAATTTTTGCTCAATTATCATAATTTCCAAAATTATATCAAGAAATAAGTAGTTAAAATACTAAGGGTGTGTTTGGTATGAAGGAAAATATTTTTCGGAAAATATTTTCCAATTTTTCCATGGTTGGTTGGCTTAAATGTTTTGGAAAACATTTTCCTTATGAACTTGGAGGAAATGTTTTCCTTATCAAGAGAAAGGAAAATATTTTCCAAAACTCCTTCTCAACCTTCCCCACCCACCCCCACCCCCCCACACCCCCACACCCACCCAACTAACTCCACCCACACCTCCTCTCTCCAAAAAGGTTTTTTGTTTTTTTTTTCAAATTTCAATTTTTTTCCGCCACCACCCACCCTGCTATCCCATCATCCTCCCCCAAATAATTTTTTACTTTTTTTTTAATTTTAAATTTTTGTTTTTTCGTTTTTCTGCACCACCCCCACCTCACCCCCCCAAATGACCCCCCCCCCTCCCACCCAACGCAAATTTTTTTTTAAACTTTTTGTTCCGTAATTTCAAATTTTTGTTTTTTATTTTTTCTGCCCACCCCCTCCCCCTGTCCCCCACCCCAGAAAAAAAATATTTTTTTATATATTTTCAGTTTTAGTTTTTTCATCTTTCGGTTTGCAGGTTCGAAATTTTACAAGTTCCAAAGTTATAATTTCGGAGGTTTATGTGTTTGGAAGTTTACGGGTTTAGAAATTATAAAGTTTACGGGTTCGAAAGCTCACGGTTTTAAAAGTTTAGCGGTTCGGAAATTTATGAAATTTGCGGGTTCGGAAGGTTGTTGGTTCACAAATTTATGGTTTCATGTTTATTGTATCTAAATTATTTATGAATAATCTTGAGAAGTTATTTTCCTTAATCTGCGTACCAAACACCGAAAAATGAATAAGATTATTACTTGTTTTCCAAGAAAACATTTTCTTGAAAAAGATTTTCCACAAAAAACTTTTTCCGTTATACCAAACACAACCTAAATCGTATTCAAATTGAGAATTTCATTACCTTTAAAACGGATGTTAAATTTCCCAGTACCATATTTGCAAACACCATAATCAATTGATCCTGTGCTAATCATGTATACAGCATTTGAGATGAGTTTTTTGGACTGTTTTGCCCCCAGCTTCTTCTTCAACTTTTTCACCACCTTCTTAAAATATCTCAAGTGTGTTTTAAGATCTATACACTACAAGAAAACACCAAATTAGTACGATTTTAGTTGGGAATTTTAGATGATCATTAGCTAATATGCAAATCGGAAGCAATTTTTGCCAGTGATATATTATGATCTTCTATATATCCGTGCTCACTACAACAAAATTCAAGATTTGAAATTTATGGGTTTTTTACAACAGTCTCTAGTTAATACTTCATTCGGTCCAAAATAAGTAATTTTTTAGCTGTTTTCACACATATTAAGATATTCACCTTTTAACATTAATTAGCATGAAATTGACCATATTAACCTTTACTTTCTCTTCACATAAATACTCCTAACACATACTCCAACACTATTTACTCCAAGGGCAATGTAGGAAAAAAATAATTAATTCATTCTTGAAATCTGGAAAAATCACTTATTTTGGACCATAAAAAAAGGCCAAAAATCATTTATTTTGGACCGGAGGGAGTATATATTAAAAACTGGCTTCACAGTATTCAAAAATATTCAGTAAATTTCTTTATACATATACATGACTCTAGGCAAAAGTTACTGGGTTTCAATTGAATTAGGTTACACTCTGGATCTGCCACTGATAGTCATTCAGCTTTGTGCTCATTAATTAAAATCGTCATTCTTTCTTTTATTACATAAAAATCATTTTACGTTGCTCCACTTATCACAAAAATAACTTTGACCAGTTTTTTTATTTATAAAAAATCCAACCTGAAATGTGAGAGAATATGACAAAAATGTCCCTTATATTAGGGGTAAGTTCAAAATGGGGGTCTTAAATGTAACAAAGTATAATTGGGTACTTTTAGCTTTCGTCAGGTATTTAACAAACTATAATTGTTATTTTAATGGAAACTGTTAAAAAAAAAAAGAGATTGAAATATATAATCACAATTAGAAGTGTATATTTTGCAATTTCGGCTATTTTTGGCTTATTGCAAGATCTAATGTAGCTTTTTGAGGTGCAATCTCTGCTATTTTAAAATATATGTTTTGTGTCTTGTGAAATTTTGATTGTGTGACTTCTGGATTTGACAAGTCCATTCTATCGAATTATTTAGTTTAACTTGCAATTATGTTGTAACAGCCCAGCCCGCTAGTAATATTGTCCGCTCTGGGTCTGGGCCCTCACGAGTTTAAAACGCGTCACTAGGGTTTAGGGCTTGTTAACTTATATACTCATCATCCCTCTTGTGTTTTGCTGATGTGGGACTCTGTCTAATTAAAGTCTGGGGGGTTACATACACTCCCTCTTATGGACTCAGCGTCCCCGCTGAGGTTTGCCCCACCGCATGAGATTCGCCTAGACTCAGCACTGAGGTTTGCTCCGCCTAATCGGGGTTTGCCTAAACTCAGTTGAACTCTAACACACCATCGGATGGCTGACACAAGAGTGGCTCTGACCATTTGTAACAGCCCAGCCCGCTAGTGATATTATTCGCTCTGGGCCTGGGCCGTCACGGGTTTAAAACGCGTTACTAGGGTCTAAGACTTGTTAACTTATATACCCAACATCCCTCTTGTGTTTTGCCGATGTGAGACTCTGTCTAAAGTCTGAGGTGTTACATACGTATAGGAGAACTGAATTTTATTTTTTATAATCAATCACGTGGCCTGGAAATCTGAAATTCATATATATATATATCATCAGAGTTAACTCATTTTCAAAGTAAAAATAAGTTAGTGGTATTAAAGATGATTGTGATAATTGATTAATTTGCGCTCATTTAGTGGTTCGACTTTCGGACAAATTATTATTATTTTTTCACATTTTAAAGGATCAAATACTAACTACTTAATTTAGTCCGGAAGGAGTGATCTGCTTATATTGTAAGACGAGGATAAAATGCTAAAATATGTCGTTATTTATTTATTTTTTATTATTTTATTTTATTTTATTTTTATTTTATTTTTTAACTTTTCAACTTGTTTCACGCTTATAATTTGTTTTTAGTAATGACCCTATGTTTAAATTATGATCTTAAAGTTTTTGGTCTGCACTGACTTGACGAGACTATATTGATATTTCTAGTTAAATTGTTTTAGTTTTCATCATATATAATAAGCATAGTTTGTTAAATATTCAACAAAAATTAAAACGCTCACTTTTGTCAATGTTAGAGGATCAAAATATTAAGAAATATATTTAAGGGCCCATTTTTAACCTACTCCCTAATATAAGAATCATCTTGTCATTTTCTCAACACATTTTAGGTGGATTTTTTTATAAAAGTCGGCAAAGTTATTTTTTTAATAAATAATTTTTTATGTAACAAAAGAAAGAGTATTGACTTTTTAGGTAATAATTGGATGACTGGAGTTTCTTGTTTCCGCGCCCCCTGGTACCGAGACTCCCGGTAATCTCTTGTAGGGCGCACAAAACCTTCCCATTCAAGCCAGAAAGTCCCGTAGCTATAGCTATCATCCGTAAAATTTACTCAATTTTGGAAGATGGAAACTTGTTTTATCCATGTTTTGTTAAATGTTTCAAATAATTCAAGTCGTCGTAAGTAGTCGATACTAAATTGTAGTAGTTGAATGCTACTTACAAGGCCTCGGTTGGTTTCAACTAAACATCTACATATGCTTGAAGCAAAGTTCACTCCATCAACAAATCCGTTCCTCTCAATTTCAAAATAAGATGGTATGAGTGGCAACTTAGCATATTCCGCTGCAAACAAATTGACCAAATTAAGTCGTACAGTTATAGCTTCTCTATCATCACAAGGTAGGGATAATGTCTGCGTATACACCACCCTCCCCAGACCCCACGGTGTGGGATAATACTGGGTATGTTGTTGTTGTAAGTCGTATTGGGCTAAAACGGCCCAATGACACTCTTAACATGGTGTGATATTGTCCGCTTTGGGCCAAGCCCGCATGGTTTTCCCCAAAAGGCCTCACACCATTAAGAGATCCCTACACCTTATATGTAGACTCCCAATCTTTTCAGCTACCAATGTGGGACTTTGTTCGCACACCCAACATTATCAAGTCTTGTAATAACATCGTCGTCAACGCAGTGAATTTGGCTGATGGTTAAGATGAATACTAATAAGATGAAGATGAAGCCATAAAAGAAGATTGAGTTGAAAGCCATTGAAGAACTTGTAAAAGATGCTATTCATGTTTGTGTTTTATAATTCCCAGTGGCTTTGAAATGGTCATCATGAATTATTGCTTGAGAAATAGTTAATATATTATCTCATTTTCTATGTTATTCGGTATTCATATTGGGGTGCGCAAAAAATTGGGGTAAAATGTTCCTTTATAAAGACGATTCTATACTCAAGGAGACTTGATCCCAAACTAATGACTTAAAGATGAAGTACTTATTACACAACCACAACTCTTATTGGTGACAAAAATATTTTTGTTGGCAATGAGTTGGGAACATGTTGCCTTCTTTTAAAGGTCAACCCTAATACTAGTCTTTTCTCAGTCCATTCTTTCAAGGGTCAACCATAATACTGGCTCTTCTCTTTTCTTTTTAATTATAAAAAAAAGAAAAGAAGATAATTAATTATCGGAGCTAGAGTAGAGAATGTCCAGTAAAATTACCTCAATGCATAAATGTATATAGTGTGACATAAATTTATAAATGACACATTTGAGTATCTTGCAATAAATGACAATCTTACAAAAAGAATCATAAAAATATTTACATGATGCAGAGTCAATGAACTCGTGATTCTTAATCCTAATTGAATGATTGAATTATAAGGTTAGACATTTTACGTGTGGTGCATCTATCATGTGACCAAATTAATAGACAAGACTAATTTAGTATTATTTATTTAGTAATAAGTTACGAGCTTAATATAAATTGTACTACTACGCATAATTGAAAAATCTAAATAACCTACACAACTGAACAACCATTAAGAAGGGCTGTCCATATAAGGGGAGAACCATAATAATAGCCAGTATAGTCGTTTAATACATGTGATAAAGATAATAATTTCGGAATAAAGTTGGGACTAACTTTGTTATCTATGTCCTGAGAAAATTTATGATGATATATATGGAAACACAATTCTGCCCTTCTATTTAGTTGGGTATATGTGAACACCTAATTTTTTGCACTATTTTGACACCTCCTAAAGTTATTAGTATTTTTGTTATTTTAATTGTTTTTCTCAAATTTTGTGTCTTTAATTGCATATTTTTATCATCAAAATATCAAAAAATAATAGTTCTTCCTTCATTTGTGCATTTTAGGAATCGATTAACTTTTCAATTGGTGAATCAATCTAGTTAATTGATCATTTGAATAAGTTATTTAATTAATTTATTTGTTTGTGTAAATTTAGTTTAATAAGTAGGATTAAGAAAGAAATTTGGCCAAATTTGAAAGAAAAAGTGGCCAAGAGTGCAAGATAAAGGGCTGGCATTGAAAGGATTTAAAACTACGTAGTTTTGCCTCAAAATTACGTCGTTTCATTAAGTGAATCAAGATTTAATCTTGGCCACCCATCTTGATTTGATCCAGCGGTCCTAGTTTGATCTCCATCTTAGGTATTTAAAGCCTAAAACCCCCAAAATTTTCCCCCATTTTCCCTCTATTTCCTTTCTTCTTCCCCTCTCATCACTCTCTCTTCTCTCCCTCTCAGCTCCGCCAGCGCCGCCCATCGCCGTCGGCCGGAAATCGCTGCCGGCGGCGGCATCCCTCCAATCCATCCCAAAATTTCACCATCTCTTCCCCTCTTCCTCCTCTTTCTACCTATGCCACTCATATCCTCCAAATCTCCACCAATCTCCGTAGATCTACAAAAATCCGAAACCCTAGCCGCCGCCCACCACCCCAAATTTCGGAAATTTTACACCACCGGCTTCCTCTTGTCCCCCTTTTTCCATATCTCCAACTCAAAACCTCAAAAAAACCCAACCGCCGCCGGCAGCCACCCCTACTGCCGCCATCCCGCCGCCGCCATTTGGCCGTGTCACCGCCGCTGCCTCCAGCTCTCCTTCTCGTTCTCGCCTCCAATCGACTCAGACATGATTTTATTGTCGATTATACCGAAATCGAGATTCAACTCACCGGATTTAGGATTTTGGTATCAATCAACAATAAAACCATGCCCGGGGTCGAATCACCACCATCGATGCCATTGTTTCACCGCTGCCTGTGTGCTCGAGTTTTCGGTAAATCTTCAACCCGTCTCCCCTTTCCCGTTTCTGATTTTTCAGCGTGTACTTCAGATTTAGTTTTAAGGTTTAATCTTTGTTCATAATTTTGTTAGTAGTATTTATAGGTTAATTAAACTTTGGTAATATTAGTTGTGAATCGCTTGTTAGTTCATATCATAAGAGTTCGTTGTTGATCGTTGTATGATAATTAAGCTAGGCTCATCCAAATTCTGTTTTGCGAAATATTTCGTGGTTTCAGTTGTTCACTGTTAGTTTGTAGAGATCACATTGCTTTAATTTAGTTTGTTTGAATGCTCAATTTAGTTACAATCAAAGTCTTGTGGTTACTTTGTCTATTTTATGATTGGATTGGATTTGAGTATTTGAATTGGTGTTGTTAAAATCTGAAATTTAGATATTTTTATCATAAAATAGGGTACTAGTTGCTTGATTTTAGTAGGGTGGCTGAAGTGACCCTTTGGCTCAGGCTGTCCTTTCACTTTTTGGACAGCCTTTAGCACACAAATTCAACCTCTTTTGGACAGATTTTTGGGGAACCAAAATCTGTCCAAAAAGTTGGCTTTTCTTTGCCTATTTAAGGGCTGCCCTTTCTTCATTATAGGGGGGACTCCATCACACTTTCATACACATTTTTTTTTAGAATTGCAAAAAACACACAAAAACAAAAAGAAAATCAGCAGTTGAACACATGAAAAGTAAGCTGAAATGGTAAGCTTTAGGAGTGAATCTTAGAGTGCAAACTTTTAGAAAAGTATAAGGCTTCTTTAGAGTTCGTTTCTGGGTTTCTTCTCTAAGTTTTCGGGCTGTTTTAACACGGATTTACTGCTGTTCGCTGCTGTTACGTTGCTGGTTGTTGCTGAAATTTAGTCCTTCCTATGCTAATATTTTCTTTCTGTTGATCAGGTAAATTTCTCAACCGTTGTACTATTTTTTGGGTCAAGAATGAATGGGAAAGAAATGTTTTGAAAGTATTATATTTGTGTATAATCTGGTTCCTTTTAAGTATCAAGCATGTACAAGAGTTTAGCTAATCAATGACTTGTTTAAATGATGTTCTAATTGCTGATTTTTCTGTATTAGATATTCCTTTTTACTTTCAAAAGTGTAAATCTTGAATGAAGTTTATGGAAAATTCTTTCCATATAATGCTCCTGTTGTTTAGAATGTTGTAGTTAGAATTCATGTTGGCCTCCTAATGAAAATGCTCTTAGTGACCAAATCTTGAAGCATGTTAGTGTCATTATAATCCATCTTTCTCTTTTCTTAGTTTTTTTTGGGTTATATTCAGATGCTAAATTTCTTTCATAAGAGAAAGGTTTAAAAACGAAAAGACTTTTTTTTAGACTACAACTGGAATCCACTAGTATTTATCTTGAAACCAAATTCAGGAACACCAACGTATTTATTAGATACTATAATTACATGCATATTTGTTCTGTATGATTAAAAATACACGAATCATATAAAACAAGTAAGCAAAATGTTCAAAACATCCAATATACTATCCGAATATATATATATATATATCCGTTGGACTTTTAGTTTATTTATATCCTTGATGTTACCAAATTATCTCAATTGTTCTTAGAAGTTTTTTGTACAATTATTACATGAGTTTATGGTTTTCCTTGTTTGCTAATGGTTTCAAATTTAGTTAAAAAAAAAACAAAATAACTCGAGATGTGTTAAATAGAAATAGACTTTGAGTTAAATAGAAATTGAGTTTCGTTCTCTATTTAAAGAAGATATGTAATAGGAAATTAATTTTTTTTTTATAGTTAGATTGCCAAATTTGTTTAAAAACAATTACTAAATGATCCAATGTTGGTGTAAATTTAGGCAATTTTGCTAGGCCCTTTTTATTGTGAACCAAGTCCATAAGCATATAAGGTGGCCTAATCCAATAAGCATAAGCCTAGCAAGTTCAAGCTATAGGTTAGTTAAATAAAAGTTCAATAGTAGTATATCCTCCCCTCTTGAATAATTAATTAAATGATTTAATCTCTTTTCTTAATTAATTAGTTTAAGCGCTAGGCACGTTTTAACTTCACGGAATTGCTTGCGTAGCGTGATGTTTATTTTAATAAATTTCAAAAATCAATTTCTTCAAGTGTAGTAACCTTTTCTTTTCAAAAGTAATAACGCACTAATAATCCTTGTCATAACTGCGGATTCGCTTGTGTAAATGCCTAATTTTTGCTCATGTATATTTTTTTTCTTTCTTTCTTTACATTATAATTTCTAGAATTCTTATGTGTGTGTTTTTAGGCTTTTAAATTAGATTATGTTAAATAATTTGATATGGGGGTTAAAGGATTGGACTAGTGTATTTTGACTAAAATTGAACCAAAATTGGCCCAAAATTAGGAGCCCAAAGAGTCTACTGATCCGGTCCAATTGGGGCTCCCAGGAGATAGTCTAAACGACGTAGTTTTAGATTGAAACTACGTCGTTTTGGTTAAGTAATCAAGATCAAATCCTGGCCACCTATTTTCTTTGATCCAATGGTCCAAAATTGATGTCATTAGAAGTATATAATTTTAGAAAATCTGATTTTTTGGCCTTATTTTCCATACATGACCAAGCCCTAGACCTCTTCTTCTCTCTTCTTCCTCTCCGCCGCCCAGCGCCGCCCGGAGCCGCCGCCGGGAATCGCCCACCGGCGGCGGTCAAGCTCCAAACGCCACCAAAATTTCACCCCCTCTTCGTCTCTTCCTCCTCTTCCCATATCCAAGCCCCAAATCCCTCGAATCCTTCTCAAACGCCACAAATCTTCAAAAGAACGAAACCCTAGCCGCAACTTTTTGGATAAATTCGAGAATATTGAGCCCTTTTCTCCACTTAATTTTTACATACATAGATAGATCTCATCAAGGGCTACAATTTGGCATTGGTTTTAACCCGAAATTCCGGCGACCGGAATTCCGGTGACCCCCACTGTCGATCCGCCGCCGTCACAGCTACCCCTCAACCGCCACTGCCTCCCGTTTCTCTCTCCACCTCGGCCTCAAGCGAGTTTCTGTTGTCGATTTTTATCGAAACTAGCATCCAATTCTCCGGAGTCATGGTTTCGATAATAATCGACATTGGACACTCGCTCGAGTCGTACCACTGCCTATCGCCATTGCCCGGATACTCGAGTATAAGGTAAAATCCTAGCTCCCCTTTTATTTTTCTAATTTTTGCTTCTATAATTGGGTTTAGATTCAGTTTGAATCGTATGTTTCTTGTCGATAATGAATTGCTCGTTTTGATCCTTGTCGATTTGATAGATCAAGTTCATTTTTTGCATAGTTGCTTGATTTTCTATTTGATTCAGCCATGAATCGTTCTGTGATCGCAAGATGAATCAGTTGTTTCCATATAGTTAGGTTCTGATTAGCGGCTATTAATAGTCGTTTATTTAGTTGTTGTTAGTCGTTGACGAATAATTAACAGTTCTCGTTTAAAATCTGTTTCGAGCATTAGTTTGTGAATTCAGTTGTTTGTTCTATGTTTAGTTTGTACAAATCAATTTGTTTAAATTAGTTTAAGTTTTTTCTGTTTCGTCAATCGTTAGTTGTCTGATTTGTTTTGGTTCAAAATCAATAGGGTGGTATTGATGTTGTTAAAATCTGAAATTGTTATGGGTTTGATCATGACTTAGGGTAGTGGTAGCTTACTTTTGATTAGTAGGGTGGCTGAAATGACCTTTTGGCTCCTGCCATAGCAGATTTCAGGCTGTCCTTTCACCTTTTGGACAGCCTTTAGCACACAAATTTAGCCTCTTTTGGAGAGATTTTTGTTGAACCAAAATCTGTCCAAAAAGTTGGCTTTTCCTTGCCTATTTAAGGGCTGCCCTTTCTTCATTATAGGGGGGGAACACATTTAGATAACATCTTTAATAGTTGTTTGAATACACAAAAAGTTGAGAGAAAAATCAGCAGCTAAATATATATAATAGTAAGCTGAAATTGTGAGTTTGGTGAAGGTTTCTTAGAGTAAAACTCTTTCAAAAGATAAAGTCTTTTAGAACTTGTTCTGGGGTTCTACTCTAAGATTTTCGGGCTGTTCAAACGTCCATCTTAGTGCTGTTTCCTTGTTGTCCTGCTGTTGTTTCTGCTCGCTTTTCACTTTTGCATCATATTTCCGCTCTTCAGGTAACTTTTGAACCTTTGTAATGCAGATTTTCATAGCAATAAACCAATATTGGAACCTGTTTTGTACTGTTGGAGCAGAGTC